CAGTTTCACTATATTTGCAGCAATTTCTAGTGATTATTAACACATCATGTGCATTGATTGTGTATTGATAACCACGCTGACTACGTATTGCAATCGTATTTTATTCTGGGGAGTGATGAAGAGACAGCATTCATTTTTTTCTAATATGCTTATTATTTATATTACAATTAGCGTAGTATTTAGGGTTAAAATAGAGAAAATGTTTTTAAATTCCAGTGCAAAGAGGCAAATTAGAGACGTTTGGTGGCCAGAAAAATGAGGCAAATTAGAAACGTTTGGTGGCCAGAAAAATAATATTCCTATGTAATGCCATGGTTTAACCACTAGATGCCCGTATGGCTGTTTAATAAATATAGCCTACATCTACCTCTACTCTAGTTGCTGTAAAGAGTTTTACCGGTCATAATAGCTTATTTATTTATTTTATGTTTTGCGTTGTATATTTAGACATTATCAATGTTTACTCAATGTTTATAAGTTTTGCTTTTTGTACATGTTGAATTTAAAAAGATGAATTACTCACATCCCAGTATTATTTTATGACATTTATGTAAGAAGACAATATAAGTGAATGTTAAAAAGGCCAGCAAATACGGAATTTAACCCAATATTTAAAAAAAAACGTTAAAAAAAAACAAGGCAACCAACTGCATTCAGGGAAACTCTTTCTTGTATTCCTTTAATGGGCAGTCTTCACTGAAACTCATTCAACTTCCTACAGGGAGAGAAAGATTGCAGAAAGACTAAAAACTTAAAAATATGACAACTAGCATCTAGTTATGATCGCTATTAAGGTGTTTCTCACGTTATCTAACAGCAAATATAGCATAATTGCCTATATCTAAAACTAAACATTAACTATAACGCGTTTCATAAAATACAACTACTGGCCAGATTACCGAGAGGTAAACTAATGCGTTAAAATGCCAAAAACTGCTGTAATTTTCTAAACTTTCTGACGAGTGTGCTTGAGAAGCACTGAAATGAATGGGCTTCAATACGGTTGTTTGGAACTATTGGCTGCTCCATGACACGCTTTACTTCCGCATTCCTCAGTTCCTATGGAAGCCTATGGGAGTGTCGCAACTCTGTTTCTCAACGGCTCTAGGTTTGACTAGCTGCATGATGCATCATCTTTCATTGCTAAAGTTGGTTTTAGCGGTAGAATTTATAGTTCATATTATGTTTAGAATTATTAAAAACCAAAGGTGAAAACTGTTAACTGGATAAATAGTAGTAACAAAGCCTATTGGCTAGAAAAAAGAAAACCAGTTGCTGAGTCTTTCACACGCATATGAACCTGCTACCTTGTTAGTTGTTGTTGTTTTTATTGTGAATTAAATTTGAATCGTGAAAGATTCCAGAAGGATCAGTGACCATCTGTGTCTGTATCAAGTAGGCGAATGAATTCTCTTTTATTAGAGAGGTTGTGAAATATTAGGTCAAATTGAGATGAAGATGAAACATATAACAGTTAAAGGGTCAGGAAACCCCAGACTATTTTTTCTGAGATTTTAGCAGAGATGTTTGTGTTGTACATCATAGAAGACAATGTTAGCATCCGATAATTTTAACTGTTGGAGAAAACTGGTTAATTTTAAGTTTTTTTGGGCTATTTTCATCTTCCGGGTTTAAAATCTACATCGTGTTGACTTCACAATTTGTGACGTGGCAATGGACTATAGTACATCGATGACGCGTCTGTGTCTATTAATTATTCATGAGACTGTGTGTTCTTATCCTATGAGAAGAGGCTTCGCTTAATTATTCACAACAGCATGTGTTGATTTGCTATGACAGACGCTTCAGACTGTGAGATGACATCGCTCACATTAACTGAGAGAAAGGTTCATGGATTGAAGAGTGTTTGTTTTTGCTTTGTAATAAGAGTTCGGCACAAACGCGATTCATTCACTTGGTGAGCATAACCGTTTTTACAGCTCTGTGACACAACCCGTCAAAAGGCTTTTATAAACGCCGCAGAATAAGCCTTAAAAGCTCTCAGAGGTGCAACAGCGCGTTCATATACAGTAGGCCTATATGTTTTCGATACAGAGTGCAAATGGCTGTGCATTTATTTGTGTTTTTAACTCGATGGGAGCGAAATGAAACTGCCTGAACACGAAGCTGTGTGTGCCGTCTGTCTCCCCTCTTCCCCTCCGCTCCGCTGCGCACCACGCCCACTTTTTATTATTATTATATATTTTTTTAGCATTTTTTAAAACTGTGGTGAGAATTAACCAGTGCTGAAACAGGGGGGTTCATGACCCTTTAAAGAAGAATAATTGAATATTACTACGCAAAAATACGTTTAAAATTATGTTTTTTTCACCACATTTTACATGTCGTTTGCGATCATGATATTTCAGAGGCTATACTTGTGAAACACTTTCTGCATTTTATGTATGCAAATAAAATTTATTATTAGACTCCTATTATTATTATTGCTGTTGTTGTTGTTGTACATTTTTTATTATATTGTCTTATTTAGTACTATATTATGTTATATTATATTCATTGTTGTCGTCATTTTTACTGTCTCAATGGGCAAGTTTGTTGTACATTTTTTAAAAGTAATTAAAACGAAAAGCTAAAAGCTTTTAATAAAATAAAATAAATTCAATAAAAATGACAAATGCATACAACAATATTTCAAAACGAAACATTTAAATGAAAACAAAATAAATAAAGTATAATAATAATTCTAACATAACACTAAGCCAAACACCAAAAAACAACTACATATGTGTATGTACAGCCACACACATATACACATACATGTACATATATATAAATACATTAAATATATATAATTTCATTTCCATTTTGTATGTTGAAGTACTGAAATAACTCAAATGAAATAAAACTAAAACTTAATAAAAAGCCTATATAGACATAATAAAAAAACTAATAAAATGACAACATTACTACAACTGTAACTAAAACTAAAATAGATAACTAATACAAATCAAACTACATTAGTTCATCAGTAATCCTAAAAAAATAACACTGAGCCAAACACACATGCTAAAATAACAACAACTTACTGACACATAGTAAGAAATGGTTATAAAAAAATATAACTAAAAGTAACTTTAGTAATAATTTTACTGTCTCAATGGGCAAGTTTGTTGTACATATTTAATTATATTGTCTTATTTATTATATTATATTCATTGTTGTTATCGTACTTTTTACTGTTTAAATGGGCAAGTTTGTTGTACATTTATAATTATATTGTCTTATTTATTATATTATATTATATTATATTCATTGTTGTTGTCGTACTTTTTATTGTCTCAATGGGCAAGTTTGTACATTTTTAATTATATTGTCTTATTTATTATATTATATTATATTCATTGTTGTTGTCGTACTTTTTTACTGTATCAATGGGCAAGTTTGTTGTACATATTTAATTTTATTGTCTTATTTATTATATTATATTCATTGTTGTTATCGTACTTTTTACTGTTTAAATGGGCAAGTTTGTTGTACATTTATAATAAATATATATATATATATATATATATATATACTATTAATCCCAAATTTAATTTTGGAGATCATAAACAAAAAGATTAGCAAGCTAAATTATCTGGTTCCCTATAGTCACGTATAATAGTTACTGTAACTGATTTTGTTTGTTGCAAACAGTACGAACAATCAAATTTGCAAAGCAACTTCAGATCCTAACAGACGTTTCTACTCTTCTTTTGCAGCTTGCTAGAGACAGATTGGATTGTTTTTATTCTTTGATCTCGGACATGATTTATTGATCACCTCTGCTCCACCCTACCCGGAGCATCAGCCCCTTCTGGTTGAAGTCTCAATGGGCAAGTTTGTTGTACATTTATAATTATATTGTCTTATTTATTATATTATATTCATTGTTGTTATCGTACTTTTTACTGTTTCAATGGGCAAGTTTGTTGTACATTTATAATTATATTGTCTTATTTATTATATTATATTATATTCATTGTTGTTGATGGACTTTTTACTGTCTCAATGGGCAAGTTTGTTGTACATTTATAATTATATTGTCTTATTTATTATATTATATTATATTTTATTCATTTGTGTTGACGTACTTTTTACTGTCTCAATGGGCAAGTTTGTTGTACATATTTAATTTTATTGTCTTATTCGTTATATTACATTCATTGTTGTTGTCGTACTTTTTACTGTCTCAATGGGCAAGTTTAATGCTAATTTCCTTTTTTCTGTGTGTGGATCGTCAAAGAAGCAACAGTCAAGAAGTGGTTAATAATTTTCCTAAAAGGATAGGAGGAAAGGGATTAACAGAACTGTGGTATGTCAAGAATTTTTTTCTTGTAAGATTAAAAGTTGATTCGCTACCACTGGAGGTCGCGACACTAAAAGAGCATTTCAAACCGATGGTATTGATAAGAAAGAGAGCGATAGTGTATGTTATTTAAATCCCTTTAAACTGGGTGCAGATTGACTCCATCCCGGAGATGATACGGCAGGTTGGGCTATTGGCAGGGAGTTTTCTGCTGCTGCTTCTCAGGAATGTTTCGGCCCAGGGTGAGTCACTCGCTCCACCTCTGCAGTCATGTCCGAAACTGAACTTTGAGAGTATCCGGACTATTAATTACTGTTAAAGCTCACATTTAAACAGCTCAGTGGAGTTGCATCAGATTAATCTGAACACAAGAGCCACACTCCTCTAACTTGTACTAAGTTAGTACTTGAGCAGACAAGCTCAAGCATGTCGGTTTCCTGCAGAAACATTTAAGGTATTGTTGCGAGGTTGTAAAATGGTACAAAAAGTTTGAGAAGTGTGTAATCATAAACCATCAAACTCATAAAACCTGCCCAGACCATATTTCACCATGAATATCACAAGAAAGGTGTAAGAAATTATATTTTCTTTACAGAAAATATACCAGTTTTTAGGGTCATTAAGATTTTTTTGTATTGTGAGATTATTTTTATGACATGTAGGTACGTTTCAGCCACAAATTCTTATTACTGTAATACAAAATGTTCAATTCTAACTACTGTAATGTGAAATATTATGTATAACACTTTAGTTTGGGGACCAGTTCTTACTAATAACTAGTTGCTTATTAGCATGCATATTAGTGGTATGTCAAGAATTTTTTTCTTGTAAGATTAAAAGTTGATTCGCTACCACTGGAGGTCGCGACACTAAAAGAGCATTTCAAACCGATGGTATTGATAAGAAAGAGAGCGATAGTGTATGTTATTTAAATCCCTTTAAACTTTAATGACAGCTAAAAATAGCTTCGATTTAAAACCTCAAATCAGTGAGATGCAAACCATTTGACATCCGTGAAATATTCAAATTAGCAAGAACACAAAGATTAAATCAGTGATGATGGGCGTCAGTGAAGTCATTGAGCGAGAGGGCGCATCGCTTCGGTGCGCAGGTGGATGTCTGCGCACAATAGCGCGACTGTCTCGCGCCACAGGTACTAGCTGGACTCAGGTGTTGTAACACGACACTGAACCATGTGATCAACGATGAGAATTTAGGAAGAAGAAAAAAAAAACAGCTCGAGCATTCACTCAACACACTAGTAAATACCAACCGCACAAGACCACCATTGATAGCAGGGCAGGATCTCGAAGGACAATGTATTATTATTATTATGAGCAGGACGCCGGAGAGTCGAGCTAGTTTCGGTTTAAATACTTCTGTAATGTGAAATATTATGTATAACACTTTAGTTTGGGGACCAGTTCTTACTAATAACTAGTTGCTTATTAGCATGCATATTACTAGCATATTGGCTGTTTATTAGTACTTATAAAGCACCTGCCTTATTCTGCATGACTATATTTTAGATCCCTTACTCCTATCCCATACCTAAACTTAACAACTACTTTACTAACTACTGTAAAAAAAAATCTGTGACATTTACGGTAAAATACCGGCAGCTGTGGTTGCCAGAACTTCACCGTAAAAAATATGGTAGCAACATTTTGGGTTTTACAGACTCAGGATCTCGAAGGACAATTTATTATTATTATTATGAGCAGGACGCCGGAGAGTCGAGCTAGTTTCGGTTTAAATACTTCATTTCACCGGTAAGGTGAGGCGGAAGCGAGCTACGGTCAGATCTATTGGATATATAGTCTACATATATTCGTCGGGAAACATCGTGGATTATGAAGGTGGACACACAGGTATGAGTTTGTTTCTGTTTATGTGGCTAGTATGGATGAATGTTTCCTTAGCAACACAAATAAGTGGAAGGAATGTGCATGTCGTGGACTGGATAAAGGTTACGGGTTGAGAAATGAAAAATAAATACCTTTTTCTATTACATATGGCCAGAGTCAGCTGTTATGTATTAAACACATCTAGTGCATCTGGAAGAAATATTTACCAGAAAAGAATTTACGCATGGTGATTTTTTGAAATGCAAGTTTACACAGGAATAAACATCAAGGCCTAATGGAATGAATCAATGCATTTGTGTGTGTGTATATATATATATATATA